GATTCTTTATGTTAAAAAAAAAAATTAAAAAGTATAAAACAAAATAAAATAAAATAGAATTTAAAATAATAATTTAGTTACAAACGCAATCCAAAGTAAAGTTTAAAAATGGTACTGTCCACCACCCCAATTAAAACTTATAAATTCCCCCTAATTTTTTTTCCATTACTACCGTTTTAATCCCCCTCAATATTTACTCTTCAGATAGCAATAATGAATAAGAATTTGTAAGACAGTCTCACACAATTTTTTGTTAAAAAACATACGAAGTATAATGTAAAGAAAAATATGTTAGGTGTCATTTTCACGGGCGTTAAGGCGTTTAGACATTTATTATTATTTATATGGTGGCCGCTGGTCGCTGGAGTTCTTGTTGCCGCGTTTTACTGGCTTTAGCCTTTAGACTTTTTGGTAGAAGCAGTTGACTTTTACAAATGGGTCAGGAAATCTTTTTTTTAGCCAACATATATATAAATGTCATCAAAAGACAAAACAAAACGCTGTTTTCCATAAATGGAGCAATTCCTTTTTTATTTATTTTATTTTATTTTATAATCCTCTCGCACAAATAAGATATTTATAATACCGATGCAGAATAATTAAAAGATATATTAGGCGGTATAGTAAGTAGAAAAATAACTCGTTTTTTTTTTTTAAATGAAAATAGAAAAATGAAAAACTAAAAAATTAATTTTTTATTAAAATTATTATTTTAATTCAAAAATTGAGAACTGATCTCTATTTTTTTTTTTAAAGAATTTGGAGAATATATTTAACTAATTCTTCAAATTTGTAGAAATGAAAAAAAAAACAAAAAAACACTAGTGAATACTAGATTCATACTTATAAATAGAAAATAGAGACATGAAGTGAACATTTAAAATTGATAGTGAACTTATAAATATTAAACTGAGTGATGTATTTTATTTCGACTGAAAATTTAAGTCGATAGTACTTGCAATTATACTAAATAAAGAATGACTCCTTTTTTTGTAATAAGTTTTTTTTCGATAAAGCAATAAGCATTTAGAATTTAAGTTTTTTTTGTTGCATTTTTATTGGAATGATAGTATCTCAGCTGTAAATTAGTCGAGACAATTAAATACTCAACATCTCTAATTAGAATATGCATGCAACAACAAAATCAAAGACGTTATAGCTTTATTAGTGAAATGTTAAACGAGTTTAGTTTCCCTTAAGTAAAATTTTTCAATTAAACATAATAAATGAAATAACATGAGTTGAGAGAATTTCACCATTAAATTTTGAACGAAACTATTGTAATCAATTCTTATTCTTAGCAAATATGGAGGAAAAAAAAAGTAGCAATTATTATTGAATTAAAGGTAGGAAGTCATCTCGAAAATACAACTCTAATATTATCTAATAGTGTTTCTTCTCAAACTGGTGACGCCCATTTTGTTAGTATAAAGCACATACATGCAGGATCTTATCATGTGCCGTGTCGAGAGTTCTTCAATTATCATCTTGATAGACAAAAATTTTCGCGAGGCTATGGTCTACACAATTTTACAAAAAAAAAAAAAAAAAAAAAAAGAACAATTATTATTATACATAATAAAAAAGGAACAATTATTATTTTACATAATTACACCTCTTATTTTATTAAAAATAATTAGTATAATAAATATTTGATACAAGCATGCATTAAATTAGGCATGCAATTAAAATACAGAATAACTAGGATATTTTCAAAGAAGAATTGTCAGAAAGCATGCATTATATTATGCATAATTGCATACTTCATCCAGAAACGTGTTCATATATAAGAACCGCCGAGTAAATAGGTATGTACAAAGATTTAATACTTTTTCATTTTCCGATTGTGGAAAATTTTTGACCAAATATTTAAAAAAAAAAAAATTGTGGAAAGTGGTAATGGTGAAGAGAAAACTTTTTTTTTTCCCAAGAAAAAAGTGGTTCAAAATATTCCAGCTTTGAATCGTTCAAACACCACCTCGTGGGTTTGAAAATTTAATGAAGCCTTTAATCCCAGTCTTCACTCTTCTCTTTTTCTATTTTCTGTTCACCAAATATACCAAAATGTTGCAAATTATTTACACTGCATTGATATATTCGTATATTGCGGAATGAAATTAATCCGTCCGTTTAAATTTTAGTCAAACTCAATTTAAAAGATAATTCTCTCATGACTGTTACTGTGTAAATATATATTCAATAATTTTCTCAGTTGTATTTAATTACTAATAAGAACAACATCACCAGTTAAAATCAAATTTATATATTTTGTCAAGCTAAGTAGATTGTGTGTAGATGGTGTTGCTCCCTCTCTCTTCCACCTATTCTTACAGCTCTCAATAACTGTGCATAAACTCATTAATGGTGTTGCTCTAACAAACCCTTTTTTGACTCGTGACAGAATTTTATTATCTACTTTTAAAATTTTTAGTCTTTACCTATTTATTTATTTATTTTAATCTTCACTTTAGTAAATATGTGGGTAGACTTTGAAAATATTTTATGGGGTAACTAAGTAATTTGAGACATATACATGTAAAAAATGATGACTGATTTTAGTTGCACATAAGCATTTATCAATGGTGGAGAGTTTCAATAAAAAAGACAAAACAATTTTATAATTATCGTAAACTTTTTAGTTTGCAATATTTATAACAGTAATTTCACATTTTCCCCTTTATTTAATTAGTTTTTTTTTTTTTAAACAAACCTCAACATTTCATCTTTTCACCTTTCAAGCTTCACTTTTTTTTTTTTTTTTTTGGAGTATATTCTCACATGAACTTTACCCGGGTGAATTTATATAATAGTGTATAAATTGCTTAAATTTTGAAATGGTTCATGAATTATTCATATCTACTTTGTGAACTTGACATTTGACTATAGCACACGTTTTAACATTCTAGTATTTGTCAACTACATTGACATCTCAAATTCAAATGCCATATAATACATCAAACAACTTTTGATGTTTGACGTTTTGTGCTGCTATATATACTTGAACATTTTGTAAATAAACAAGATAATATATGTAGATATGTAATTTAAGTAACTGCTATAATGTCGCACGTAAAATATTTTTATTTCAAAAGTAAAAAAAAAAAAAAAAAATCATACATAGTTATTAATTTACACAACTTATAAAAAGTTATTTGGGAAAAACCTCATTTATGTTTTTCAGTACAAGAGTCGAATTTATAACATTGTGGTTATTAAGTCAACAACTTGAAAAACTTGGTTAGGGTTACCCAATTTACATAGTATTTATCATTTTTATTGACTACTGTTATTTGGTTGATCCCACTCAACATTTAAAAAATATTTACTTATTAATAATCAAATATAAAAATGAATCATCCAAATATTACTACATATTATAAGAAGGTGAAATCACAAGACGAAATTATATATATGCCATACGGTTTTTATTTTTAAAATAAGACTTTTAAATAGTTGTACTTAACACTCCTTATAAATTTCTAAGCAAAGGTAATAGAGTTTTTTTTTTTTTTTTTTTTTTTTTTTTTTTTTTTTTTTTTATGAACTTTTTGGGTGAGGTGGAAGGGAGGAAAAGTATGAGAGAAAAATGTGAATATGTTGCAAAAATATAAATTATTTTGTGGGCCCCAACATGAATTAAAAAAAAAAAAAAAAAAAACACTCAACTGGTGCGTGTATCGCACATCAGTCACATCTAGAGTTCTCTTCTTTCTCCTTCTTCTCTTTTTTATATGGACTAAAAATAACCTAAAAATAATCACAAAATTGGAGTTACTCTAAGTTATCCATCGAAATCAGTGCCACCTATTTTTTTTTTAAAGGAAACAAATTTCATTAAATTTAAAAAATTAAATGTTCAATACAAGAAGGAATGGAAGAAAGCCAACTAAAATGACTAGACTGTGAACTTGCAGCTCTAGCTAACGCATGAGCAAGCTTATTCGCTAATCGATTGACATACTTAATAGACGCTGATTCAAAGTGTCGTTTTAGGGATCGACAATGACTTAACACACAACTTGCATAAGAATAGTCCGATAGATCATGATTAAGGAACTTACACACCATCTGGCAGTCCGACTGAACCACAATATTACGCCAACCTTGCTCAAGAATCCAAGAGAAAGCCTCCTTCACAGCTATAGCCTCTGCTAGATGAGGATCGTTTAAGCAACGAACAAGACCACTTCTAGCAGCAACAAAACTGTCATTGCTATTTAGGACCACAATACCATAGAAGTTAGAATCCATATCCTACATAATATAAGCATCGACCTCCACTATTAGTGTCGAAGCCTATTAGTACAAAAAACACTTTCCGAGTCACCTGTACATGTGACTGATTCCAGTGACTCTGAAAGTGGTTAGCCTTCCGCGAGACCCGTATAGGTTGTTGCGGAAAGGGATTTTTTATTTACTTTTTATACAGATTTTCCGAGACATCTGCTCCGCTGCAGGTGTCGAAGTAACATGTGCTCGAGGAGGGAATTGTAATTCCACCAAACAATGTAATTTTGATAGTTGTTGAATTTCATTATAAAAGAATTTCAATTAAACCTAATCAAACTTCCTGATAGTGATATATATATATATATATATATATATATATATATATATATATATATATATATATATATATATTTGATTTAGTCCTTAATTCTAACAAAGTATCGAAGTCAAGTATCTACTTACGTACAAGAAATTATTTAAAACTAAATCGAGAAATACACTATATTTGAAGACTAAATTGAATATTAACTTACTTACCTAGCTGTAAAAATAAAAAGGGAAAGATAAAAGAGTCTTTTTTTTTTCTTTTTTTTTTTTTTTGAAAACTGAAAATAAAAGAGTTTAGTACTGAAGCTCGTAGAAGAATTCAAAGAGCAGGTGTAAATAGTTTCCAGTCCACCTCCAATAAGCGTAGTCTATGGTCAGTTTAGACTTTTTGGAATTCTAAAAGGTTGTTTTCCCAACAGTCCTCATTTTTTTTTTCCTGTCCTGATACAGAGTATATATATATATACACACAAAGCAAACTCAAAGTCATATATCATAAAATCTTTGTTGTTCAGTTGTCTGTAATCCGAAAATCTTTCCCTGAGGGAACAAGAAAAGCTTTGAAAGCTCTGGTTTTCAATTCCAGGTCAGTCTTTCACTATTGGGAAGCTTTTATTCTTCCACTTTTAGCCCAAGAAAATCCAAGATTTATGCTTAATTGTCCTTGTTTAGCTCTGGGTTTCAACTTTCAATTGTGAATTGCTTTTAAAAAAGGTGGTTGTTTTCTGTCCCTTTTGTTCTTATTTCTGGTGTTTCTGTGTTTTCTGCAAATTTCTGATAATTCTGGAGATTGGGGTTATATATATACCTTCTGAATTTGAAATTTTAGAGAGAAAAAAAATAGATAGTATTGTTATGATCATATTGTCACATTCTGGGTTTCATAAGAAGAGTTGATTTACATGGAGTTGTTATTCTTAATCTGCAGGTAATTTATAATATAGTGCTGGAGAACTGAGAAATGACTGTAAAAACTGATAGCTTTAGAGGAATAGATTCAGAGGGGGTAATCCGTGCAAATGGGCCGGGAAAGATGATTAGAAAGAATTCGATAAGGTTAAGGAGCTTTGAACCTACGAAACTAATGTTGGAGAGGAACCTGTCGTTCAAGGATCTTGTTCTGGACATAGAAAGATCATCAAATGCTAAAAATGCGAAACCAACACCAACGCCTACTTCCCTTCAAGAACCATCCATCATGTTTTCTCCTCGCCCTGTTAGTGAGCTTGAAGCAGCTGCGGTCAAGCTCCAGAAAGTGTACAAGAGTTATAGGACTCGAAGAAACCTCGCAGATTGTGCTGTTGTGGCTGAAGAGCTATGGTATGTTTCTTCTATCTCAATCCTGAAATAACGATCTTGTTAGGATCAACCGCTTATTACTGCGCCAAAAGCTATAGCTAGTAGCGAAAACGCAACTCTATTTCCTTATACCGACACACATTTTTTAGACGTGGGGCGCTCGACGACTTGGTTTTTAAGCCTTTTATCAGCCAATGCCCAATAACCCCCAGCCACCGGGTGAGACGCTCGGTGCTGGACTTGGCCATAGGGTGCTAGATTTGGTCTTTTAAGCCCTTTACCAGCCTCCGCCCAACAACCCCCAACCACTGGGTGCTGGACTTGGCCTTTTAAGCCCTTTACCGACCTCTGCCCTAAACCCCCAGCCACCGGGTGCTAGACTTGGCCTTTACTGGCCTCTGCCCAAAATCCCCCAGCCGCCGGGTGCTAGACTTGGCCTTTACTGGCTTCTCCCCAACAATTCTCCCTCCCAGCACCAACAAATCTTAAATGTTATTGCTGGGACTCAAACCATACCCCTTGTTAGATCAAGCGCTTACTACTACGTCAAAAGCTATAACTAGATCTGATGTTCTTTGTTGATGAGTAAGCCGGCATGGTTATTATGTTTGGCTAAAGGTTGTTTGGTTTATTACTCAGGTGGAAGGCCTTGGATTCTGCGGTTTTGAAGCAAAGTTCTGTTTCGTTCTTCAATGACGAGAAGCCAGAAAGCGCTGTTTCTCGATGGGCTAGAGCGCGCACAAGAGCTGCAAAAGTTGGAAAAGGGTTGTCTAAGGATGAGAAGGCTCAAAAGCTTGCCCTACAACATTGGTTGGAAGCAGTAAGTAGTCTCGTGTTTATTCATGTCTATTAGAATTTGACCAAATTTGGTTATGTTTTGCCAGAAAATTTAAGCTACTGTGTAAAGTCTATCCATAACGAATGTGTATATCTTATATTATGCTCAGATCGATGCACGACATAGGTATGGACACAATTTGCACCTCTACTATGATGTTTGGTTTCAAAGTGAAAGCTCCCAACCTTTCTTCTACTGGTGAGATTTCTTATTGACTAGAAAATTGATGATTTTACAGCTTTAATAACTTCTCTATACTTTAAGTTAGCGTACAATCAAATCCATCTTCTTACAAATTAGTGGTTTTATCTGATGAAGGTTGGATGTGGGAGATGGGAAAGAAATAAATCTCGAGAAGTGCCCGAGGACGAGGTTGCATCATCAATGCATTCAATATCTTGGGCCCGTAAGTGTACAATGATCGATATAAATGGTACTCCACGTTTGTATAACTCATGCCATGGTGGGTTCTGATTTTCACTTGATATTTCAGAAAGAGCGCGAGTCTTATGAAGTTATTATTGAAAACGGGAGGCTTGTGTACAAGCAAAGTGGCATTTTCGTGGAGACGATAGAAGGTTCAAAGTGGATCTTCGTCCTTAGCACCTCAAGAACGTTATACGTGGGGCAAAAGAAGAAAGGCGTGTTTCAACATTCGAGCTTTTTAGCTGGTGCAGCTATCACAGCTGCTGGGAGACTAGTTGCTCATCATGGCGTTTTGGAGGTAATTAAAAAAAATTTCACTTATAGAGTTATAGAAATGAATGTTATTGGAGGACCATTCGAGGTTTGTGAAGACGCTCAAATTTCTTTCGGGTTTTCTTGCAGGCAATTTGGCCATACAGCGGTCACTATCATCCGACAGAAGAGAACTTCCAAGAATTCATTAGCTTCCTAAAAGAGCACCTTGTAGATCTCTCAAATGTTAAGGTAGAAGTTGAACTCATTTTATGCTTTTAAATTAAAATGTGTTTATGCGATTTTCTCACGAAACAACCTACAAATTGCTGATGCGATTTTTGTTTGCCTTAATTGTATCAGAGATGTGCAGTTGATGATGACTCGTTTTCATTCAAGACAGTCGATGAAGGGTCCGATGGCTTGGCAAAGAAATGGTCTACTGGAACGGGACCACGCATTGGGTGCGTTCGAGATTACCCAACCGAGCTGCAATTCAGGGCGCTCGAGCAGGTTAACCTGTCACCTCGAGTGGTAAACGGTGGCTTTATCAACTATGGTCCAGTCCCATCACCCCGGCCTAGCCCTAAGGTCCGGCTTTCGCCTAGGATTGCACACATGGGGATGCCTAGTCCCAGGACTCACATCCCAGTTGCATCAAGTTAAGGCAAATATATGGATAGAGTAACCAACTGACAAATTTGATCTCTACTGGTGCTTCTGAACTAACTCCCCAAATCTTCATTCATCTATTCATTCAATCAATTTTGTATGTTTTATTTAAGGCCAGGGGGCATAGTTTTTAGACAAACCATGTGTTTGTTTTTTGTGGCTCTTTTTGCTTGGAGATTTAGGTTTGTTTAGTTCTTCAATTCATTTTTGAAGAATGCCATCATAAATCCAAATTTGGTAGAGGCATGTAGTATTTAGAATAAGACTACATTTCAAGGATAAAGTCTCCTTATGTCAACTTGAAATTTGTAATTTTGTATCTATTTTATATTATAGATATACTTGACCATAATATTATTTAGATGAATATTTTTTTTAAAGTATGCTGCATGTTTATCTACACTAATGAGATTTTTTCAAATATCCTATGCCTATAGACTTTAGTACTTTAGTCACATAGAAGATATAAACAACACTAGGAAAACTCAGTTCTGATGAGGATTAGAAATCTGGAATAATATTCACAATGAACCGAACAAGATAATATAGGAATACAAGAGAGAGTCTTAACATAACACAACTACAAGATTCCTAACACTCCCCTTCAAGCACAAGGTTGAGGAATAGTAACATTGAGCTTGCTACGTAGAAACGCAAAACACGAACCCGACAAAGGTTTAGTAAAAATATCAGCTAACTGATCCTTTGTTGAAATAAAATGTCAACCTAATTAAACATACTAAAATGTCAAGCTTAGGTTTTAAAAGGGAGGGGTAATCTTGTCTCATGATTATCTTTTTTTCTTCCTAAAATCCATACATACTAAAATGTCAAGCTTAGGTTTTAAAATTTCAAGGGGAGACATTGGATTTTAATTCCATGAATATGAGAGAATTGCGATTGCTTCCAACCAAACGCTATGTTACATTTAAGGCCGGTAAATTTATGTGTTCAAGAAGGACTTCGAAGTTTGGGTGTTATTTGTTTGAATACTACTTCACAAAGAGCCAACATCGCCTCCATTGAAACTCATACCCACAACCTGCCCTATGAGGGAGCAACTTGGTGCCATTGGACAAGGTCCTTGGTTTGAGTGATTTTGTTGAATTGATTAGAAAATGTACTAAATGGCTTAGGTACAATATAAATTAAAAAAAAAAAAAAACAATTTTGAAATATTGTGTGCACAACATGGTTAAAAAAAAAAAAAAAAAAAACATTTTAGTTTAGATACACTTGCTCGTGGAATTCTACATGTAAATTTTTATGTGAAATTTCACTATATCATGAGATAATAATTACTTTGTATAATAGTAATCAAGATAGTGATGCTATCCGATAGGATATATGCCCCGGTTTCGGCTCCCCTGTACGTCGGTGTTCTCGTTTTGTAGTCGGGTCGGGGTCAAGCAGTTCGGGTCCCAGTCTTCGGGTCAAAGTCAAACCTGTTACTCGCGGACCTATATAAAGGGCCTTAACACTTCATTTTAGGGGTTCCTTCCTCTCCCCTCTCCACTACACTCTCTCTCTAGATTACAACTCTCACTAAAGAACAATGAATAAGAGATCCTCTTAAACTACTTTCTCTTGTCTATTCCATTATACATATATTTTATATACATTCTCGATACATACATACGGTACACTCCGCATACATCGAGGAATTAAGCGCATCACTATCAAAATTGTAACTATGTGCATTTTGATTCCTCTAAATTATTGAGATAGATCTTAACGTTTCTAAATATTAAGAGCAAACCAAAATTAAAAGTCTTTTATAAAATTTAAAATTTATCAATGTAACATAATTTAGTGACTAAAAATCAAATAAACTTTATAATACATTTTATAACATTTACAAGCTATCAGTTTTTATAATGTATTAATAAATTTATTAATCTAACATAGTTTAGTGATATTAAAAATCATGTTCAAATGATATTATAAACATTAAAAGTATTTTATAAAATTTTAATATTATAATTCATTTAATTTAGTAGAAAATATTGCTCCCTTTGTTCCATTTTATATATCATACTTACTATTCATTGGTCAAATCAACTCTTTCTTCGTTGTTTAATTTTTTAGTATTCTTTACTTATTTTTATTTGATTTTTTTGTTTGTATTTATAATAATTTTAGTTAGTTTCTAAATATATAAATTTTGTATACTATTGTTAAACTTAATATTATGAAAAGTTGAATTAAAATAACGTCAATCAAGTCTCGTTAATCTAACTAGACATATAAAATGAGACAGAGTGAGTATTAATTTTAAATTTTGAGATTAATGATCCATATCTTATTTTAAACAAAAAATATATATTATTTTGTAAGTGTGTGTGTGTGTGTGTGTGTGTGTGTGTGTATATATATATATATATATATTAGAATTATTGTATAAAAAAGTTGAAGTGCCATCAATTAGAATATTAGATATAACTTTGATTGTTGTCAAGGACGTTGTAGTCTAGTGAAACCAAGTAGCTTGATTTCCCATATAGGAGGTTGTAAGTTTAAGTGTCCGTAAATGCGGTATTGACTCTTTGTGCTTTCGTTGTAACAGAGTCAACAGTATTTAAAAAAATGTTATAATTATTTTATATAAAATAAATAAAAATCTTAAACATTAAGGACCTTGTGATCCAATAGTACCAAATTGCTCCCTTATGTGGGAGGTGATGGGTTCGAGTCTCGGGGAGGAATAGTAGCATGTCTATTTGGGGGATCAGGCTTGGCTTCCTAACTAGTAAATGGGCAATCTGGTTCGCAGATCGCAATAACTTTAATATCATTGACAATGAGATCAAAATAGGACTCTCTTGTAGATCCATGTAGTGCATCATGAACCACTTTCGCGTCCATCTCAACATCCACCACCGTCATTCGCATATCCTTCAGCCAGCTTAATGCTTCCCGAACCCAAGCCATACAGGCATCCCGGACCACCGCACCAGGCATAGCTGCCACTGCTATGAATGCCCCATCAGAATCTCGTAAAACCCAATCGTAGCTAGACTTCCCATTGCCTCCATCATACGCAACACGCCACCCAAGCCAAAAACTTTGGGCTAAAGAGAGGATCTTATCCTCGCAGACCACACCTCCATTCCAAACTACGACAATGCCACAGGCACCAACACAAGACTAAGCAGAAGCTAAGGGGGGTCAGCGTCCAAAGCCGTAAAGAAAGCTTTGAACCCTTCCCCCTTCGCATCCATGGTTTCAGCCTCCATACGAACTCCAACCCTTCTCCAGCATGCCTTCGCCACCATGCACGTAAATAATATATGCGTGCTTGTCTCCTCCGCCTCCCTAAATAATAAATGTACTTAGGGTTGGGGTTCAGCCAGCCTTTGGAAGAATAAATGTACTTTTTTATGATCCTAACACTCATAGTACACATAATAATTTGTCCAGACTTTGGCCACATTTATTCCCTAATAACAATCATTTGAATATAACAATTGTATGGTCAAAGATCTTGTAGTCAAGCGGCATGAAGTGACTCTTCCAAGTGGCAATCGTTATACCCTGCACCACGGCGCACACAGCACTGTGCGCCGCGTGCCTCCCAAAACGACGTCGTTTTGTTAAGTTGTCTAGGAAGTTGACGCGATTATGTACATTATGGTATACAATTATGTACATTTGTTTATATAATTATGTGCATTTTTTATACAATTATGTACATTTTTTTTTTATACAAATGTACATCCGAAACAAGGAATTTATGTGTATTATGTTAAAAGTCTAAGTGTATTATGTTAAAAGTTTATGTGTATTATGTATTATGTTAGACTATGTGTATTATCTTTTCAAAAAATGTATGTGTATTTTGTTATACAATTATGTACATTTTAATATACAATTATGTGCATTTTTGAAATATGAGATTTTTTTTAAAGAAAATTAACAATCGACACGCAGAATTCCAAAAAAAAAAAAAATTCTAAAACGACGTCGTTTTGCACCAGAGTGCACAATGCAATATACGCCCTGGTGCACGATATAAATTGCCCCCCAAGTAAGAGGTCATGCGTTCGAGCCAATATTAACTCGTTGGATTTTGGTAGATTGAAAAAGTATATATGAACATATACTACATGCATAGAAATGTAAAAAAAAAAAAATAAAATAAATTTTCTGTAAAAAGATAACGGAAAACGCTCTCGTATTCTTTCTCATTGCGTCAACATAAACCTAGATATCTGCTTCAGAAATACTTTTATATTTTTTGTGCATTCGTATTTCTACCGTATTAACTGCTTTCTTCTCCTGCTTATGGAGCCTGTCATGAAAAACAAGTACCGACTCGGTCGGAAAATCGGCAGTGGATCGTTCGGAGAGATCTTCACCGGTTTGTTTTTCAATTTTTCTGCTTTTATGATGTACACTTTTTGGAATTTCCGGAGTGAGTTGATTGTTTAATTATTACCTTTTGCTCGATGCAGGCACTGATTTGGAGACGAATGAGGATGTAGCAATTAAGCTCGTGAGTTTTTTTCTGCTAGAAGTTGAACTATGTTTTGTCTAGTGTACTGGTTCTAGTGATTTTGGAAAATGGTTTTTGTTCATCACGGGATTCACTATTTCACTTTGAAGTTTATCTTTATGAGCGATAATTTGTTTACTTTGAATATGACAATCTTTTATGTACAGGAGTTCACATTTGAATTTTGGCTATTTGTACTTCATATACATTAAAGTGAGTGCTTGCTATATGGGATTATGGTGTTTTGAAGTAGCAGTAAGCTCTGGCTATATCAATTCAAATTGGATGCATAATCCCTATTTTCATTTGAATATCCAATTCCATGCTATAAGCCTATAAAGCTTTGCGTTACCACATTTATATAAGCTTTCACAGTTCACTTTTAAGCCCATCAAGGCATCAATGAAGTGTGAATTTTTGATTCATTATTTTAGATCTCTGTTTGATCATTTAGGCATTGATTTTTTGGGTTATCTTCATTTTTTTTTTCTTTTTCTGAACTGCTGCTACTTTATAATGGCTGCTGTGATGGCCTGATTCTTGCTCCTGGCTAGCTTGACTATGTGTTCATAACAGTATGCAGTGCTGCCTTCTGATTTTCAGTCTCCCCCAATATGTGGATGTCTGTGAGTCATCACTTCACCCAAATTCAGATCATGGGTCACAAGAACTTGTTATCAGGAACTGCCGGAGTTGTTAGAATAGTCTACTTTCTGAATTTTTCAAAGATAATAATTGCCAATTCATCCGAACAACTGTTCACATGACACAACAGTGTGCCTTAGTTTCATGGGCATTGCCATACAAACCAAGATGCTTTGTTTAATTACTTTCTGTCCTTTCAAACTACATCAAAGCTGATATTATTTCTGGTCTTGCAGGAAAATGTCCAAACAAGTCACCCTCAATTACTGTATGAGTCAAAGTTATACAGAATTTTACATGGAGGAAGTAATGAAATTTGTAGTTTGCTTTTTCTGAACTAAACCATATTATTTTATATTCAATGATTGTTATGATTGTGAATTTTCTATTGCAGATGGAATTGCAAATGTGAGATGGTTTGGCGTGGAACGAGACTACAATGTTATGGTCATGGATTTGCTTGGCCCTAGTCTTGAAGATCTATTTAACTTTTGCAGTAGGAAACTTTCTCTGAAAACTGTTCTCATGCTTGCGGATCAAATGGCTAGTTCTTATTAATATGTTTGTTTGGTCAAACACAGACACACACACACACATGTATCCTTGCCCACATATTGATATATGCTGTTTAAATGTTTACCACAGATCAACCGCATTGAGTTCTTACACAGTAAATCATTTTTGCATCGAGATGTCAAACCAGAAAATTTTCTTATGGGATTGGGAAAGCGCTCAAATCAGGTTTTCTGATTGTTATTTTGTGGTTATGTATTTCATTGATCTTTCTTTTGTTGTATGTGATTGTTGGTATTTCTATATACATTTGACTTGAAAACAGGTGTATGCAATTGACTTTGGTTTGGCAAAGAAGTATCAAGACCCTTCAACTCACGAGCACATCTCTTACAGGTATCCAACATTACCCACTTATATGGTCATGTAAATGCAGTTGGAATTGCTAAATAGTTGGCTGTACGGGTAAGTGTACTATTGCCTCTGTTCCTTCTCAAACAAGTATTATTGGAATCCTGCAGAGATAAAAAGAAATTGACAGGAACTGCAAGATATGCAAGCATAAACACTCACCTCGGTCGTGGTAAACATTTTCTCTTTGGAACTAGTAGCTATCATTACTTTGTTGTTGTTTCTTCTTCACTAACTCAAAGTTAAATACATTCTAGAACAAAGCAGGAGGGATGATTTGGAATCTCTTGGATATGTTCTAGTGTACTTCCTAAGAGGAAGGTGATAGTAGCTGCACTTTGCTTTTATGGATGCTGATGAATTGTAGTGTCTATTTTGACGTTTATCTATTGCAGCCTTCCTTGGCAGGGAATAAAGTCAGGAAATAAGAGACGCAAGTATGGAATAATTAGTGAAAGGAAGATGTCTACCTCTATTGAGGTAATATTTGCAAACATGATTACTATATTTTTGACTTGTGAAAGGAAGTGGCTGATCTTTATTTTTACAGGCCTTATGTCGAGGTTCTCCTACAGAGTTTGCTTCATATCTCCAGTACTGTCGTTCACTGCGCTTTGAAGACAAACCAGATTATGCTTATCTGAGGAGAATTTTCAGAGACCTTTTTATCCGCAAAGGTAAATAATAATAATAATGCTAAAATAAATACTATTTTATCCTCAGAAAATATTTATTTTCTATGTGTAGTTTATCGAAGAGTAATGAAAATATTACCAACATATTTATGTTATCTTTTGCCTCTACAGGCTTTGAGTTTGACTATGTTTTCGATTGGACTATTTTGAAGTATCAGCAAGCACAGATTGAAGCTCCTCCTCCCAGATCTCTTGTAAGTGATGTACCTTTATACTAATTCAAATTTATTGTATGCATTTTCACATCTAAGATCTAACAATGTTTGCTTATTTTAGACTCCTGGTTCTGGAACCAGCTCATGGATGACTCCCATGAACCCCAATGTGGAACACCAGTCGGGTAATACGCCAGTCCTATGCCCTCCCTATGCTTGCTTATATGATGTTACACCCACAATACATATATCTGAACTCATAAATTCCATGCAGCCCTACATCTTACCCATACTAAACATGCTGCTCTTAAACATATCTCACTGGGTGTTGTCTTTAACTTTTACAGGTGAAGAAGGGAGACGATTAGCAGACTCTTCCCAGAGGAGAAACTATGGGCAACCCGGAAATGCAGAGTTCTCCAACTGGAAATGACTTCGCCACAAAAAAAAAAAAAAAAGATGCTATTGTAAGTTATCCGAGTTACTTTGACAATGCAAATAGAAGGTTTGTTAGATAGATGAGACATTTGGGAGGAAACTATGTTTTTTCGTCCAACTTTATCAATGAACTTTGCAGTTGTCAAGTGCAGAGACTGTACACAAAATCTCAAGCAGACAGAAGCTCTCCTTCATCATCTGGCAGGAACAACTCTAGCACAGTATTTTTGACTATAAGTGTGACACTTAACATGCCCTTTTGGTGATATCTTCACTTTCTCACCTAGTATTGGTATTGGTAGTGGCAAATGTAAATTTGCCATTGTAATTTTTATTTTATACTCCCTCCGTCCCGAATTGGATGTCTCATTTACTTTTTGCACGCTTTTTAATGAATCAAAAGTAAATGTTATGCACTTTCCAATTATGCCCCTCACTTTTTCACTTTTGGAAATAAAAATAATAAAGAAAGCAAAAGCTAGAAGGGTAATTTGAAAAAAGTAGAATGATGGTGATGTTCAATTTTAGAAAGTGGACAACATTTTGGGACAAACTAAAAAGGAAAGTAAGACACATAAAATGGGACAGAGGGAGTACATTATATCTCCTTATCAATTATGCTTCGAAATATCAAGTTGAAGGTGAGCCTCTTTTTGCAATATTCTCCCTCCTTCCCATTTTAGAACTTATTTGTTGATTAAAATTATTTATAATACAATTTTTGTGATATTTAATTTAGTAATTAGGTAATAAAATTTACATATTTAAGTACATTATAAGGTTTTTTTTGGCTGTGTTTTATTGACTTAACAATTCTTAATAAGTGAAAAGAGTTAGTGAAAAGAGTTAATTTAACTAATGAATAGTGAATAATTCATATAACATGAGGTAGCAGGTAGAGATAATCTTAATTTTTTTAAATTAGTTATGATTCATGTAATATAGCCCCTAGCCACCATACATGTCACCTTTAATATTTAAAAAATTACTCTTCAATATATTAAAAAAGTATATAAAAACTATTGCTAAACATTATGTGTTGTAATTAGTTGATGGTTCTTTAATTGGTCAATCTTTTACCATTTAGAGTAGCTATGTTTAATTGATTTTAAGGGGAAAAATTATAAGGGTACACAAAACCTTGAGTCAACATATAATTTTTTGGCCATATAACAGGCAATTTATATCCTACACCACGGCGCGCGTTGTAATATGCGCCCAGATGCAAAACGACGTCGTTTTAATTTATTTTTTTTTTTGAAATTTCCCGCCCCAGTGAATGGCAGTAGTTTTTTCTTTAAAAAAAACCCGCTGTTCAAGAATGTACATAATGTTATATTAGAATACACATAATTGTATACATGAATGTACATAATTATATAACAAAATATACATACTCTTTTTAAAAGATAATACACATAATCTAACATAATACATAATACATAATAAACATAAACTTTTAACATAATACACATCAACTATTAACATAATACACACAAATTTTCTGATTCGGATGTACATAATTGTATAAAAAGAATGTACATAATTGTATAAAAATGTACATAACTGTATGAACCAATACACATAACTGTATGAACAAATACACATAACTGTGTGAACAAATACACATAATCCCAGCAACTTCCTACCGCGCCTCCCAAAACGACCCAAAACGACGTCGTTTTGGGAGGCGCGCGGCGCACAGTGCTATGTGCGCCGTGGTGTAGGGTATAACGATTGCATATAACATTGCAATGTAAGTTGGGGATGGGTTTGATTTTGGCCAAATTAGTGTTTGGCTAATATTGCAACAAGTTGAAATCTAACTTGATTGTTTCAAACTAACCCGAAAAATGACACATTGAAGTTGTAACTATTCAGCAAATTCAAGGATATGAGTATGTGTATGGATTAATTTTGATTTTTTTTTTTAAATTTCCAACATGTGTCGGAAGCTTGCAACACTAGCTATAAAAAATGGCAGTTTTTGTCCTTTTTTGAGTTTTGTTTTATGTAAAATGGATCAATTTTATGTAATTGGGACCCACTTTTGAAAGTTGATAAAAAATTACAGAGGTATATAGAAAATAGTGAAAAATTATAAATTTAGTGATGTGAAAGTAAGAATGACTTTTGAAAGTGAAAAATATTTGCCTTATGATAAATCTTCGTGTGAGTAAGTAGGAGGGAGAAAATGTGAGAGTGTAGCCTGCCTGTAGGAAAGCAATAGGGATTAGGGAAGCAGTTGATATAGGCACATGGAGCAGAAAGTGATATGTGCCCACAATGTAGTAAAGCACAATAAATAAACCTCAAGGTGCTAGAATAGTCCTACAACATTTCCTCTCTAGAATAGCCAATAATGACCAAAGGTGTTTTGCCCTACCCTACATCTTTGCCCATTGTAATTCTTATATCTACTATTTCTTTTTTACTTTAGACTAATGTGACATTTAAACTACCGTAAGTCAAAAGTTTTTATTCTTTTCTTCATCCAAAAATGGTGAAAGTTTTATGGACTACATTAGAGTATCTCTCATAGTTGTAAATTTTTTAGAGATTTTGCAAGTTTAACTAAAAAAGGAAAAGTTTCTAAAAAAAAAACTAAAAAAGGAAAAATAGGATAGAAAAAGAAAAATAAAATAAAGGTTTACGCGCCCGGCTGGACGTGAGATTGGTGCCTCACACGAGGCCTTCTTTAATTGTTGCATTCTTAGTGGGGCCCACATAGCTTACAAAAAACAAGCTCCTTCCGCAAAGACTAAATACATTCTCTCTCCTCACCCTCTCTCCTCTACATATGCATTGTTTCCTCAAAAACCACACCAAGATGCATTTGTGGGGATGCTCGAGCATTCTTAATAATTGCTGTTTTTGAAAAGTTTTTGCATGTGTGACTAGGAAACATAATATGGGGAAGAGGAAAAAAAAAAAAAAAAAAAAAAAAAAAGAGCAAGTATGCCAACAAAAAAAAATATTTAGATTTTACGTGCCTAGAGTAGCGTTGAATGCGCGAACAAGGCACGCCTTCTTCTCCACTTGGGCCCCACACTTTCAGACCAAAAATCACACCTCTTACAAGAACCCCTTTTCTTTAGGAACCCCATTTCTTCTCTCTCCTCATAGTCCCTCCACATCATCCTTGCTTTCTCAAAACCCACCCTAAAATCCATGGAGGGAGATGCTCAATTAATTGCACTGCTGGAACAGCCAACATAATTGAGGAAATGGTAGGGTAACAATCAAGCCCAAGGAAAACCTCCCTTGATCACTAAATGTTATGTGCAGTGCAGACCTATTCATTCTTCAGTTAAGAATCTCACCAAATGAACAACACAGTCAGATTTGATGAGTTCATATCAAGTTTAACTACATACACACAAACCCGAAAGCCCTCTAATAGTTATCGATCCCCTACCTACCTAATTGTTAATCGAAGGAACTAGATTAGGAACCTGTCGAATTTTCCCTCGAGGCTCTCCTTAGAACTCATAATCTATGAGAAACTCATCCTATCACCATTCCTTACATTGGAGAAAACACACATACATCTAATAAGAATAACTATGTCAAAAGGAGTTAATGCAGAGGCCAAAAACAAAACTATGCTAACAACAAAGGAAAGTTCAGCCTCCACAAACTTAAGTCACTGGTTCAATAGGCAATATTTAGGGAAATAGACCAAGATTTGAAACTCGACAGCGACAGTGTGAGAATTATGCTTAAAGTGGGCAGATCCCTTGTGAGTTACCCGTGATTTACACCCTCCCAAATGCTCTGTCGGGTCAGGTGTGGGACCCTTGGGGTTGGGGATTCAACCTTTTGGGGGAACAAGGGGAAGTTGATGTACAGAGACAAGGGCAACTGTTTTTTTTTTAAGAATTATTACTGTGTATAACTGTTTTCTGATAGGTACCTGGAAATGATCAATCAAGAACTACCAAACATCTCTTCAACCAAATAAGATTATTGACAATGGGAAGTTAGAATGCAGAATTAGAAATCAACCCACATTTCCTGTTCAGGGTTTTATATTCATATAACTCTAAAATTTCACCAATTTCAGAGGCCAATCAATCCCTCAGTTACTAACCTAATCAAGCACAGAATTAAGGAATGGTAAGAAGCTTCATATGCAACACAGGGGTAAGTCCATCCATATCAACAAATCAACAATCCACTACTACACTTAAAAGGAAAGAAAGAGATAGATGCATAGTTGAAGGAAGAAAACTTATGAGAAGAAGCAAAAAGATGAAAAAGTGCATTAATATAAAGGAATATGTGAAGAATGATGATCATCTCCGGCCATAGACTACTTGAGTATACCTCTCTTTAATCCACCTAAAGCTCTTCTTAATCGAGCCTTTGAGTTTCCCCTCTACAGCGTACGCCTTATAGCTAGCCACCCTCTTCTTCCTCTGCAATTCTGGGTCACCCAACACCCATCCCTTCTTCAAATTCGCGTCCCTACCACCCGTCTTCGCCTGCGTATTGTTGTTTGAATATGCATAGGAAGCGCTGTAGCATCGGAGATCTTGAGGCCCACCCGGGTTGGGGTTGGAGAAGCCGTTGTATGTGTCTACCACTTGCATTCTTGAATCATTGTATGACTTTGATCTCAAGTCCTCCATTTTTGATTATTGATTTTTGATTTTGAGGCTCGTGAGTGAGTGAGTGGGTGGGGGTTTAAGGGTTCTTGATTTTCAGGTGGGTTGAGCGTTCTCTCATAATGGGATTTGGGTTTGTTTGGGTTGCGTCGGTGGGCGTGGTTATGGCTAATGCAATGCAAATTGCAATGCGGTGCAGTTGGAACTTGGAAGAGGAGTAGATGGAGAAGAGAGTTAGTCAGTCCATGTGCAATAAATAAATAAATTAAAGCATCCTATCTCCATACTTAAACTAATTTTAAAATATCACCGCTTTAGTTTGTGTCCATCAGTTATAGATAATTTAAACTATTTTATTTTATTGTGATTTTTTGTCGATTAGGCTCACAATTCACAAGGGACAAACTATATTGTAGAATCGTGTCCACCTTCCAAGATGAACACAGTTCCAAAACTGTCATAATTGTGAATATAAAGTTCAAAAATTATACCAAGTGGCTTTGTGGTCCATTAGTATCCGGTTGACCCTTTTTGTGGGATGTCTTAGGTTTGAGCCTCGGTGTAAGCGTAGATAGTATATGTGGGTACCCCAATCGTTATGCTGTGCATACGGATGCCAAAACGACGTCGTTTTATTAAAAAAACGCGCGTCTCCCCTTTAAAAAAAATTCAGGTTCGATTCCCAGCAACAACATTATATTGTTCATTCATTCTGGAATTTTAGTTCATAGATTATGGAATTATAGTTCATTGATTATGGAACTATAGTTCATCGATTATGGAATTGTAGTTCATCGATTCTGAAATTTTAGTTTATAGATTATGGAATTTTAGTTCATTCATTCTGGAATTTTTAGTTCATAGATTAGATTATGGAATTATAGTTCATCGATTATGGAATTTTAGTTCATATGTTGTTGCTGGGAATCGAACCTGATTTTTTTTTTAAAGGGAGACGCGCGTTTTATTAAAACGACGTCGTTTTTGCATCCGTATGCACCATGCATGGTGCATCCGCTCGTTTTTGCATCCGGTGCATACGGATGCACAGCATAATTTGCCCGGGTACCCCTCTTCCTTTGTAATAAAAAAAATAAATAAACATAGAGTTCAAAAATTGATAATATGAAGTTCAAAAATTATGAACATAGAATACTATAATTGTGAATATGAAGTTCAAAAATTATGAATATAGAGTTCTATAATTGTGAATATGAAGTTCAAAAATTATGAATATAGAGTTTTATAATTATGATTATAGAACTGTGTCCACCTTGCAAGGTGGACACAGTTCCACGGCATAACAATTGGTCACAAGGTACAGTTTACTCATTGTACAGTTGTACACTATCAAATAATGGTTGTAAGTTTTTCTCTTCACTCAAAAAAAAAAAAAAAATAGTTAACAGGTTTGTTAATGTGTAATATCAACCTATTTGGTATTTTGGCAACTACCGTAGACCACAATTCACAATATAAGATAATTGACATATAAATTCACTTTTAATATAATAAGTATTTTTTTTTTTTTGAGTACAGAATTTATTTTTAAAAATTATAAAATAAACATTTATTAGTCTATAACATAATTTGTGATATTTTGGTTCACAGTTCACAGCATGACAAAAGTATAATACTTATCCCTATCACACGTTAGGTTTTGCCAAGATGTAGATCCCAAAGTGGCATGAGAATTTACCATTTTGTCTTCGATCATAACGGAGTACTATCGAAAAATTGGAGAGGAAAAAAAAAAAAAAAAAAAAAAAGATGAAAGAGACACAATAGTAAAATTTTTTAAAATAATCAATCTTATGGATATTTCAAATTTAAAATTTTATGATTAACAATCCAATTATTCAACTAACTTATTTAGTTCAACTAACT